CGGCTAAAGATCGTGATTATTCTGTTATTTCAGATCTGAAACTTCTAGCATGCTTTTCAATGAGTTCGATGCTTTCCTCGCGTCCGTGAGCTGAAAATGTCGTAAAATTTGAGACATTTTGAGAAAATTTTCATTTTTTGATAATCGTTTTGTAAAAAAAGCCTGTAAAAAACTAAAGTTCTCTCACAATTTAATGGTTAAAACATTGCTTTTTTACATTTAACCCCTTCATCGCTTCAGGGCTTTCTTCATTCTGATGTGCTTCCGCTTCTTCGAGCCGCCCAGTTTATTCTTAAACATCTTAATCTTCCGTTCATTGTTTCGGACCTTCGACTTGACGATTTCTTTCACCTGCCGGCGGACGCTAACAAATTCCTTTTCGCTTGCTTTCATTTTTTCAATGAAATCGAAACCCTCTAAAAACAACGAAATTTGTTACTCTCTGCCATTTTTTTCCGTTTAAAACAGTTCCTACCTTGTAATCTGAAATCATCAATCTTAAAAAAGAACGGTTCTGTCCAAAACACCGTTTGGCTACTCCTTAGATTGTTTTGCTGCAAGTCACTTTTAGGCCCAGATGGCTCGGCTGTGCCCTTGTGAGGAATGTCTTCTGCTTCGTTTTCTTCGTCAGAAGAATCGTGCTTAAAAGGATTGTGACTCGGGTAATTCGACAAGGATGTTATTGTCTTGGCTGGAAGTTCTTCAGCATTTGCTTCTAGAAAACGATTAATATTTTGTTCCAGTAATTGGGTAATTTACAAGTTTATTTTCATTTTTACTGTACCTTCAATTTTTTCGGGTTTACCAAAAGCGCTCAACAAGCTAAACTGCCTGTTGCTCCCTTCAAAAACAGTCTTTAGCGATTCTGGAACTTTGTAAAATATTTCCTTGGACACCTCAGGTTCTGGTTCCTTGCATTCGTCCTGTCCTTTTTTCTTAACTTTTCCGTCACTTTTCACTACTTCAGCATCCGGTTTGAGGATCAAGCTTGAATGCTCTGGTCTGGTCGGGTCATATTTCAACATAGTTTTTCTGGTGAAACTAAACAACAAAAATAACTACACTGAAACAGATTTGATGATTTTCCTCACGTTTCTTCCCGATTGGACTTTTTGATGATTTTCTTCCCTAAAACATCCTCCAATATTTTCAGCTGATCGTACTTCTCCGCTTCTAGATCAGCATCATCATCATCTTTCTCATCTGGCTCTTGGTCAATGTCCTCATTATCTTCGATAAACCGCTTATCCAAATTAAACCGCTTGTCGTTCTTGAAGCGCGACTGCAGTTCTAAAAGCTTCACAGATTTCAGTGGCGACTAGTTCAAAAGCGCATCTTTCGCAAGTTACCTTTTGCCCACTTGGCCCTTCAAACTGTTCCTTCACATCGAAATTTGCTTCGAAATCGTCAGGATCTTCGACATCATCATCGTCAAAGAGGGCAGGCCTTTTCACACCATTCGTTGTTCTATTTGTGCGATTGTTGTCTGCTTCATCGTCAAAGACAATTTTTTTGTTGGGTTTTTCCCCCTAAAATAACATCAACCACCAAAACTATAGAAAATACTGGAATTAAATGAAATAACAGTGGGGTACTTACCACACTTGACAAACCAGATTGTATCAAATGCTTTTTAGCCGCGTATCTTTCTTTCATGTTTTTCAACGATTGCAGCCGTTTGATGTTCGCATCAGAGTCATTCTTTTTGGTGTCCGTTGCTGGTTTCGCGATCGAATTTTGAGTGGTTGAAGCTATTTTTAAGGTGGGTTGCAAAAGCTTGCCCTTGTTGTTCTTTATAATGATATCCGTTTGTTCTTCGAAATCGTCTAGCTTTCCTATATTTTCTATTTTTATGCGTTTCTTTTTAGGTACGATTTCTGGTTCGTTGATCGTTTTGCCATTTGTTTTGTGTGCGTTCTGCTTGAAGGCAGGCTGACTGTAAATGGGTTTGCCTTTGTCCACATCCTCACTTTTTATGCTTGTCTGCACTTCCACTTTGTTTCCGGCCTGATCAGCTTCTTGTCTTTCGCGCTTCAGTCTTTCCAGGAAGTTTTCTTTGGCAATTTGCAATTGCAGATAGTGGCCAGCACATGCCACTGATGAAAACTCCTTAAAACCTGCAATTTTGATTAATCAAACGCCTGAAAAGGGTTAACCAAGCATCTGCTTACACTGATTTAACCTTCTGTGGTCGGTAACAAGATTTATGTAAGCGAAACGTGGGCACTGATTGGGCCCCAATTCCTTTCGCTGTTTTATTTCAATTGAATTCACTTGGCCATATTTAGAAAATCTGCTCTCCAATTGGTCCTGAGCTATATTTTCTGGGAGATCACTTACAAATATTCGTGTATTTTCCATTTTCAATAAAACAGGAAATTTGCCCAATGCCCATACAAATTAGGAGAGTGAAAGTGAGGTTACGGCGAAGCTTCAGAGAACGTCAAAAACGTCACATTTCCAGAGCAAAAAGTGAACAGTTTGAAAGATAAAGACACAATACATAACCTTCACACATCGCAACAAATATCAAAATATCCAATATATTTGAGTTTTTAAGACTCGCCCTGAAAATAAACCTCAGACTACTCTAGATACTCAACAGAATGACCCTGTCGACGACTAAAAACGCCCGAATGTTGTATAAGCTGATTTTAAGGCTCCATAGGGGGCTTCCAGAAGATTTGCAAATTCTCGGTACACAATACGCTCGGGAGGAATTTAAGCGCCATAAATCCTGCCCCCCTCCGGAGGCTGCGATTTTCATGAAAGAATGGACAGTAAGTAATATTTTTAGCTCAATTATGTGGGGATTTATGGTAAATTTGAATGTAGAATTATGTAATAAGGTTGGCTGAACAACTGGGCGCAAAAAGGGGGAGCAGCCCGACCAAGTTTGGAGCTCAACTACCGGTCGAATTGATTGATAATTTACGCGATGAGCAAATAATTCAGTTGCATGAATTAATGGAAGCTTCGCATGCTCCCAAGTTAGTTGAGCAGCACCAAGAAGGCTGAATTTAGGTTTTTATAATTTAGCTTCAAAAAATTGTATATTTTTTGTGTTAATTTATACAATTAACTATTTTCTATTAAAATTAAAATTAATTTTAAATATTTTGGAACGTTGCCAGCGTTTAATATGAATATCAACATCGGAAACAAGTGTTTGAACTTTGACATTTGTCAGTGAGACGTTATATTTTTATTCAATTTTCAAACAGTGGAGAAAAAATTGTTAAATCTGCTACAATTAGAAGCCCTGAGACAGATTTTTGTTTGTCTAGGTACGCGTTTAGTTGGTAAGTTTGAATTTTGTAGAAAAACCCTCATCAAAGAGGGCCCGATGAGGACATTTTTCTGTTTATATTAATATAACCTATATTTTCACTTGTCAACTTTTGTAGTTTTCATTTCCTCCTAATTTACTTATTATTTATTAAGGCGTTGAAATCGCAATTGCTTGATATAACATAAAGTTGCACTGTTTTTGTACGGATCGTTTTTTTCATTCGGCTTTAAAGTCCAAACGTTCGTGAATTTCGCATTTTTGCTTCCATCTCTTTAGAGGTTTGGAATGTCTGATTAAACCTAATTGGAGAGATCTTGATATTTAATCGGGTTTTTCAGGCCTTTATGTTTAACATTTTGGTCGCCGTTTAGGTAATTCCTGTACTGACAACTTTTTTGCGGGTTTTTGTGGACATTTTCAATCATTTTTTACTCGTTGAAATTCACTACTTTTCCATACTGGGAGGAGTTAGGAATGTTCGCAGTTAAGCAAATTTATGCGGGTTTTAATCACAATATTCACAGTTTGTCTTGCTTCGCAGCTGCTGCGTTTATTGCCTAATTAAAATTAGTGAATAGTAGAAACGAGCCAATCTAACAATGTCCTTTGGATCCTGACTTTCTGATGTATAATTTTGTTATTGTTGAAAATTGGGCGCTTTCAGAAACACGAGTACCACTTGAAATTCACCTTCAAGTTTGAGGAAAATACAAGTTTGTTGCCATGAAGTTTAGGGCCTTGATGATCGAAAATGCTGCGATGCGAGATTTTTTGAGTAAGTTAAATTAACTACCGTATAGATTACTTCAGGCGCGTAGTTCGCAAAGCGCTGCTCGCAAACTTCAATGAGATAAATATCTGAATACCATTGAAAACGCTTCTCAATGTGCAATTTTTCCTCATTTGGATCATGCCATGCTCTTTTCCCTTAGACATTTCAGTTAGTCTTTCAAGATTTGCAAAAACCTGCGTTTTGAGACTGACAAAGACTAAAATGTACTTCATAATATCCGAAGAAGAGTCCAGACCGCGTTGCCCACAAGCTTGGTGCGAGCTGCCAGTTAGCTTCTATTTTAAAGAGTATAATATTGTTGGCGTTAGTGAGGTGCACAATGAAATTTATCTGGAGTTATCCACTGGTAAGTCCGCCCCCGTTATAGAATTGCGTTTTTGCCAAATTAACGGTTTTGGATTTAGCATTGCTAGCCAAAAGCTGTTCCTTACTCAAACAGGAGGCAAAGTACTTCAAGATTAAACTGACTAATAAAGGATCAGCGTGTCTAACGTTGGAAATGGAATTTGTGAGTAGCGGCAAGGCGATTTTTCCCAGTTGATCAGCTACTGTTCAAATTGCAGATGTCCGGGGAACTAACAAGCAGACAATGTATTCATGATATTCCAGTGGAAGTCATTTCGAAGAAAAACTGGGACGATTACAAGGAGCCAGTGTTTAATGATTTCCATGTGAGTTACTAGTGGGAAAATTGTCTTTGGGCACGTGGGAAATGAGCTCCTGTTTCTCCAGGTATCAATCCAAATGCCCAACTTAAGATCCATTAGGAGTATAGCAGAGAAAATGAAAAATTTGGGACACAGCTTGACGTTGCGCGCAAATAAGTCCGGAAAACTCACTCTGCAAATGAAGAACAGTACTGTTAATTTATCTGTCCATTTTCCGGATCTCAATGTTAACAGTTTTGTTGGTGAGTAGCTATGGGATGACAACGAACTGATACTAGGTAAAGCAATTCATGCAGGAAGTAGTGCCAATCCCGGTTTTTCAAGCGAAGACGAAATGGGTGACTCTGTTTCTTCAACGATTGATATAAAAAAGTTTATCACCTTCTTGTTTGGGATGCAGCTGAACAACTGCCAAGCGATTTGCAACATCGTTCAGGGCAAAATGGTGAAACTGCAAATGGAACAGCCTGACGCCTTTTCGCTGCAAATCTTCCTCACGCAGCTCTCGGATTAAACGTAAACCATCAGTAAAACTGAACACTTGTACACACTGTAATATACTATCGTTTCCTATGCATAAAGGGTTAACAAAACTACACAAATAATTAAGAGGAAAAACGGTAACCAAGTCTTTAAATATGCAAAGAGGGACACGTATTGTGCATGCCACGCCATGAGCAGTGCCAGTTTGACCATGTTCCAGCTATAGGAGTTTTGATAGTGCATCAAGTTTAAAGCGGTGGCCACATGCGAATGGCAATTGTCGCAACATAAGTTATGCATTCTGGTCTTGTATATGTCCGAAGCTTCCGATACTGCCGAATCCCAGCCTTTAAAAAATGTGTCTTAGTTTTCCAGGGGACAAAAATTGATCCCTAAATTTGAAATTTGGATACATACCTGCAGCACCTCCTCTTGCAGCGTTCGCATTCAATTTCCAATATTTGGTGGGCCGACCGAACGCCATGCTGTCTTCTGATACCACATATGGTCCTGCAAAGTCCCGTATTATTCCTGAAGACATCGCTATCCCCATATGCCCTATTATAGGACAGATCCATGTTAAAAGGGGAATTGGGGTCCAGACTATGCAAAATGGGTAGCGATCCCTTTCGAAATCCATGTATTCAGCATTGAAATTCATCGTTGATGAGGTGATAGAATTATTCGGGCGCATCGTTCACTAGTTTAAATCGCATTTTCAGATTAAATTTACCACCGAAAATTGTTGTTGTCACTTGCAGGTTAAATAAAATGTGAGAAGTTTCACAAGTGACACACGTCCTGAGACAAGAAAGGAGCGAGTCTCTTGTATGAGGAAATGGGACGACAATACAATCGCTCATAAACAAAGCGAACCGCACCAGAACGCGCTCTTGTTTTTAGTTGCAGTGACAACTCAACTATTTGTTGACTATTTGAAAGTACTTATAGTTTAAGTACTCAGATATGCAAAATTTCTTGTCTGCAGCTCGGAATCGAATACGTTGCGTTTGTGTCGGTTAATTGAATTGAAACTGTGTTATTCCGCATTACGAATTTTCCGTTGCGACTTTGCCATTAGCATGAATTATGGCAGAGAAAGTGGGCTACATTCACAAAAGGTTCAAAAGTTTGCACATTCACATAGGGGACACACACAATTTGATGTAATTGTTCATTTTCAGCTATGGAACGACGGCGACTCTATTCGCAATTGTATGTCTTTTGACTGTGACCACCCGATTCTATAAAGTGGAGGAACCAGATCACGTATGGTAAGAGCAGCGGAGCGATAGTTGGGGTCCCCATATGTATGAACTAATTCATTTTTTAGCTGGGATGAAACCCATTTTGGAAAAATGGCCAGCTGGTACATAAACCGAACGTTTTTCTTCGATGTTCATCCGCCTCTAGGAAAGGTGAGCACATATTTCTACGTAATACATTCTGGGCCTACACATGAACTTTCCTTAAATATTGTAGATGCTTATTGGCCTCTCGGGATACTTAACAGGCTACGACGGGACATTTGCCTTTGATAAACCTGGTGATAAATATGAAAATGCCAGCTACGTTGGAATGAGATTGTTCTGTACGAGCTTGGGCGCCTCTGTTGTGCCCATGGCATTTCTCACAGTTAATCAAATGACCAGCAGCCCAACAGCGGCCTTATTTTCATCGTTGCTTATCTTATTTGGTAAATATGGAATTTTTCGCATTTCATTCTAGTAATGCTTGCCGTTTATTTGCAGATGTCGGTCTAATTACTCTCACCCAGTACATTCTCTTAGACCCGATTCTGCTGTGTTTTATGATGGGCTCCATTCTAGGAGCAATAAAAGTGTCTTATAACACTGCCGATGAGTTTTCGCCGCGTTGGTGGATTTGGCTCATATTCACAGGGACAATGTTGGCCTGTTGCTGCTCCGTTAAGTTTGTCGGCCTATTTGTGGTGCTCTTGGTCGGCTTAATCACTATTGCGGACTTATGGAATATATTGGGTGATTTGACCAAACCGGTGGTAAGTACCGATCAATCTTTGGACGTTCTGTGTTTGGAATGGCATCTTATTATTGGGAAGAATCTCGTCATCGTCACTTTTTAATGCAAAATATCACCCACCATTTTCTCAAGAACTGCTGTGTCTATGGGTTGAATCTCTGTGTCATGAGAAGGCGAAGAACTATTTCCACATGAGCGTTTTGTGGCGTAAATGACCGCATTTTTAAGTTACTCTTTAGAAAATCAAACTGATTAAAATGAAGGGCAGTTCAATTTCCAACACAACGGACCCATTTTTCATTCCGCAAATTTAACAAATATTTAAAGCCGATCGTAGCCCTGTGAACCTTCGATTTCAAATCAGCAAATCCTGAAAAAATAAAACTCTTGGTTAATTTTCTAATTGTATTCTGATATTCTCTGTTTTGCATTTACAACATCAACAAGTTACTCATGCATCAGATGTATCGGTGCAGCTTTAGTCTCAATTTTAACATTTTTACTGTTATCCTTGAGGTACCTTCCTAACGCAATGCCACAAAACAAAATAAATCCTATCCATGAATTCGATATAAATTTCCTTGAACAATCTTTAGCGTTATTTATATTTAGTGTGGCAATTTGTTGGGCCAGATGGGCGGAAATCGCGCCTGTCGCAACATAATAGGGCCACATTTGTGCATTCATGATCCCTGATGCGATTAAACTAGAAATCATAAGCACAGAGAATCCACCCAACCACAATTTTGTATCCTCATTGAATTTGATGGCAGTGGACTTAATGCCTATGCTCAAATCATCAAGCCTATCCTGATGAGCGTATATTGTATCGTAAATTATAGTCCAACATACACCAGAAAAATATAGCGGCAAGCAAATGGTTGGGTCAATGGAACCTGTCACAGCACTGTAACCAAGTAGAGCTCCCCAGTTAAAAGCCAGCCCTAATACAAACTGGGGCCAATAAGTGAAGCGTTTCATTAATGGATAGACTATGACTAGAGCCAAGGAACTCGCTCCTAATTCTATACTATACCAATTTAGTTGTAGTAAAACGGCTAAGCCGACACTTAACTGAGCAGCTAAAAAAACTACGGCCTTTTGCAACGATACATCGCCATTTACTAAGGGTCTGTCCTTCGTCCGTTTCACTTTCGCATCGATATCTCTATCCCACATATCATTAATCGTGCACCCAGCGCCTCTCATCACCACAGCCCCCAATCCACACAGGGTAAGCAGATACAAATCAGGAATGCATCCAGGGCTGGCTGCAGACGCTATTCCCCAGCTGACTGGCCAATACAAGAGCCATGATCCGACCGGTCGGTCCAATCTCATGAGTTTCATATAGGGCTGAATTTGAGCAGGTGCACTATTCACCAGCCTACTCGCCAACTTCTCCTTGGATTCAGGGTGCAATTTAACGCCAGCCGACGAAGTTGCGGTCCATTTAAAACAGTAGTTCGGACCAAATTCATGTTTAAAGGGACGTCTAACCTTGCCCGCGGTCAACGCACAGTTCCATGGATACAACTGACTGATCCGCTTTGCGGATCTAATCGTAAACATTGCTGCACGTTTCGTACAATTTATAATCCATAGCTACAGCAACTGCTAGGTTTAAAACCCATTCCTGCGAATCTAAAGTTTTGAAAAATCTGGGTAGTGGATTTTCATTAGTTTTAGGTTAGAATGTGACAAATCTGTCGTAACTGACACTGCTGGCAGACTTTTGCTAGAGATACATTTGCAGCGTTGCCACATGAATGTGGGCATATAGAAGAATTAACGAATGGGATTATTTTTTTTAAGTTGTATTTATATGCAATATAAAATCGAAATGTTGCTAGTCATTGGAATAATGAATCGAATGATTTAACCGGAAATATAATATTCATTATTATTTTTTTCCCGCCGTAAAATTTTGACATAAAACAATTTTTAAAATTAATAGAAAACAAAATTTATTAAAAACAGTCCGTTATAATAGAAACCGCTCTTTTTAAACAATGAACTTTCTATTTCAGGTTGACGCTGTAAAGCATCTTTGCGCCAGAGCAATATGCCTAATAGCCCTGCCCATTTGCTTGTATATCTGTTTCTTCTATATACATTTAACCGTCCTCAACAGAAGGTATGGTATAGAGTTCATCCAGCTACTTGCAACTGTAGGAACCGTTTTCTTTTCAGCGGAAATGGTGACGGTTTTTACAGCTCGGCGTTTCAGTCCCAACTGATCGGTAACAGTTTGTACAATGCAAGCATGCCACATCAGGTCGCTTTTGGGGCTGTAATAACGTTGAAAAATCAGCGAGCTGGCGGAGGCTATTTGCACTCACATTTTCATTTGTATCCAGATGGGATGGGGGCCCGACAACAACAGGTGAGGCCCAGATGAGTCGCGATTGGGCATCAAAGGCGCAAAAGAGAGCGCATTGCGAGTCGATTCACGTATCTCTGTTGATAGGATTTTAACATGTTTATGATGAAAATTTTTGGTAGATAACCACTTACACGCACAAAGACGACAATAACAAATGGATGATCAAGAAATACAATGCGGAGGAGCTTTCCGAAGGGGAAATCGTTCGCAGCGGCGATTTAGTTCGACTGGAACATGTCGCCACCAGACGAAATCTGCATTCGCACAAAGAACAGGCTCCCATAACGAAGAAACATTTCCAAGTGACTGGGTATGGGGAAAACGGAACTGGAGATGCGAACGACGTCTGGCGCATATTAATCAAAGGTAATTTATATTGAAATGGCACCATCAAGCCGTGCAACTGATTGGAACATTTCGGCACAAAGGGGCCAAAGATGGTACGGAAGTCACTGCTGTTACCGCCAAATTGAAGCTGGTGCATTATCTGCAGTCGTGTGTCTTAACGACCACCGGAAAGCAACTACCCAAATGGGCCTACGAGCAGCAAGAAGTTTCGTGCAGCGCTAATCTTAGGGATGCGTATGCTTTGTGGAATGTCGAGGAGAATATTTATGATAAATGTAAGTAATTGTGTAGAAGAATTCTTGCTTAGGTCGAAACAAATGACAAGTAAAGTAATAAAAATGTTTGTTTTCTGTCCAGTGCCCAATGTGAACTTTGAGGTCTACGCCCCTAGTTTTTGGGAACGGTTTTTGGAGTCGCATGCAGTCATGTTTCAAGGAAACGCCGGACTGAAACCGAAAGAAGGCGAAATCACTTCCAGGCCATGGCAATGGCCGATTAATTATAGGGCAAGTATCCTATCCTTAATGTGTTTTGCTTGATATCATGTTGGAAATGTGCGTTAAATATGGTTGAAAATTATCCGAATGTGTAAAACTTAATGATGGGTACCTGCATTAGTTTAGGTAGCGTTTTGCCCAATGATTTTTATTTTATTTATTGCACAATATTAAGTGCTCTTGTAGCCCTTGTGTAATCCAATACTGTAAATGTCAAATGCTTACGTTGTAACAGTTTTTGTTTGATTTCAGGGCCAGTTCTTCTCAGGCGCACAATATAGGATTTATCTGCTAGGCAATCCTGTAATTTGGTGGAGCAATTTGGTGTTTATCGCTTTGTTTCTGATCATTTTCTTTGTGAACGCCGTAAAGCAGGAAAGGGGCTACTTCAAGTCGTTTTCAGGTAAGCTTTCAGCTGTGCGTCGTTCGCAAAACGTCGGCAACTGTAAATATGCATTTAGACGAATGAGCGAAATTGCGGGATTTTGTTAAATTGCTTTGGTTTGGATAGCTTTTGCACGTTTTTAAGCAACTTATGGCTTTTTAAAGACCGCTTGACAGATTGAATGACATTTTATGTCTTGGCTGGATTTTTTGTGGTTCGTTCCGGATTCTGCCTCTGTGGAATTTTGCGCGACTTGAAGCTCCGCCCTTTTTTTTTGGAGCAATGGCGGTTTGGACGGTTGCCGAAAAATGGCCGCGTAGGAGAAAATTTAAAAAAATTAAAACTGCGAACTCGATTATTGGGTTTCAGTTCTGTTGAACCAACATACATATTTAATCTATACGGGTTAAGGCGGTTGTAATTAGTCCGTACTATTGAGGTCGCATTGTATTAAAATTTGGTAAATACGCTTCTTTCAGAGCCCAATAAAATGAAGCTAAAAGCCTGCGCCTGGTTGTTTCTCGGCTGGCTCCTACATTACGTGCCCTTCTGGGCCATGGGGCGAGTGCTATATTTTCACCATTATTTTCCAGCTTTGCTTTTCAGCTCCATGCTAACAGGTACGTAAATATCTGCTATTTCGCCCTCTCACTGTTACGATATTTAATATTATATTACAAGGAGATCTCGATATTGCCTGGTTTAAGAAGTTAATAAAGTTGCGATCCCATGTGTTGTTTCAGGAATACTCATGGACTACATTTTGGACCAATTCCCAAAATTATTTCACGAGCAGCATACACATTTTGTCTATCACACCTGCATTGGTATTTTTCTGTCTGTAGTTCTGTACAGTTTTTACTTGTTTGCGCCGTTGGCCTACGGCATGAATGGCCCATCATCTAACGAACCCAACTCGACTATGCACGGGCTGAAATGGATGGAAACGTGGGAATTTTAACGCCGTTTTGGCCTTTACGTTATATATTTTTATGGAATTATATTTTCGATCAGCTAATTAAATGGTCGTACTGAGATTCATGCTGTTCCGTTGCTCCCCCTATTGGAAAAATGACCCAATGTTAATTGAACAGCGAGATTAATCAGGCTTTTTGTGAAATAAACGCGTAAAATTCTCCGTTTTGGATGCACAAGTTCGGTTAACTCATAGGTAATAATTCCGATTTCCGATCTCGATGAATAAACGGCTGATATTGAGCAGGGGCGGATCCAGCTTCTGTTGTCTATGAAATTAGAAAAATTATCGTCGTTTTGTGCAAGGGTGGCGCAAGACTATTGCAAAATTTCATGTTTTCCGTCCCGTTTTGCATGTTTCTCGGAAGCAAAATGAGCAAGAACGCTCATTTGTACGTCATTCTAGAGAGAAATAAATGGCCTTTTTAGAAAGTGAACCATGGATGGGGAAATGTTGGCAGTTTTCTCAAAAAAATGCTTGAATTCAAGAAGTTTTAGATTTGCGTGGTTTTTTTTTGAGTTGCAAAATCCACTTGAACATGACGCTGCTTTTTTCGAAGTTTCTCAAGAACCATTCGAGCCACAGAATTCGTTTTGGCATTCGTTAGGACGGGTTCTGCAAATAAAAAAGTAATTTAATTTCAAAAGAGACAACTGTAATTTTGCTGTTGGTGGTACCTAAAATACAACTTGTCCCTACAGTCCTTCGTCAAATCAACATTGTAAAATAGCGTACAGGGAAAAACACTTGGCTACCATCTGATCGTATTTGCGTCTTTTACCTACATGCATTGCTTAATTAATCCGCAACAATTCGCTGTTTATTTTAACCCAATTAACGTCTCCTACTTATCGGCACCCGTAAACATGTACGATTCGCACAACTTAAGGATTTTCGAAATGTCGTTCAAAATTCTGCAGTTCTACAATTGGCGGAAAATCTGATCGCAAATCGGCGCTGTGGCAATGAACGTAGTCTGGAATTGTGGTTCTTTGGACGGTTGGACTCATGTGGGGGGGCATCGATTGAATTAGAGGAGAATTTGGCATCCCTGATTGGCCCGGACAGTTGAAGAACCTACAAAAGTACTTCATTACTGGTTAAATTTAACCGTTGATTCCATATTTTTTGCCTGGAAAATCAGTGAAACTCGATTCTGGTTAAGGTCGGTTTTATAAGTGGGAGACGTTTCGATTTTCAGCCATCATCAGGCAATTTTCACAAATTTTCCAAATTGCATAGAGTTTTCGTGATAAGTTTGCAGGCCGAAGTCCTGGTCGTTTTGTGCGTATTTTGTAGCGCAGGGCCTACGCCTGGGTAACACTGTGTTGAGTTGCGCTATTGAGTGTTGCTGCTCGCGGAGCTAACGAATTATAACTCAATACTATATCTTAATTTTTTTGCATAAAAGATTCAGTTTGCGAGTATTTTACTGTAAAAAGTTAGGAAAAACGCGGGTTTTCTGTTTAGAGACGTTGACCTAAAAGTGAAGAAACTCCAGTTTCCACGGGGTTTCCAAATAAATGATTATAAACTTTCGCTTTTTCAGTTCGGGGAAATATTTTTGGAAAAAGACCCAGAAATAATTTTTAGGGTTTTGTCCATAATCGAAGCTGCAAAAAGTCTTCCAGACATTTTTGCAAAGCGGTTGAGGAGGCGAGTGTTCCGATAAAATTTATCTTATAATTTTTCACAGAAAATACCTGAAGATTGCCAGTATTTTAAGTAAAACTAAAAAATAATGTGATTTTTGCGTAGAAAGAATTGCTTAATCTTTGCTAAAACTGGAATGACCTAAAAATGTAAAGAAACTTTAGAAGTCCTCAGAGCAATGAGGGCGGCGAATTTCCCCAATTATATTTTTTTAAACTTATGCTCTGGTCGTTTTTCCAAGATAATCCTAATTATTTTCGGTAATAAATTGAATAAAATTACTTGGTTTTTGTGCCAAATTCGAAGCTGAAAAGGGTTCCATGCATACTGATGAATGGGGCGAACTTTCTAGCAAAGTTAATTTTGTAATTTTTGGCTGAAAACTCCCCATTATTGTCAAAAAAGAAGAAAATTATCAGAAAATAATGCTTGTTTGCGTTTCCGATTAAAAACTTTTAGTTTTGTGATTGGTTTTGGAGAAAAACTGGTTTTTTCCAACCAACCAAACCTGTTTTTCTCGGGAAAAACCGGGAGGAATTTATTTTCCTTTTGTCCCGAATTCGGCACTGAAATACGTTTTTGTAAAATTTTTACAAAGTTATAAATTTATTTTGTAATTTTTCGCGTAAAAGTCCTCCAGATCGTCAGTATTTTCAAGTGAAACTCTACAAAATAGAGCGTTTTTGAGTAGAAAGTAAAGCAAAAAAAGTTCAGTCAAAACTAAAAAAACACATTTTTTAACAAATTCTACAGTTTTCAGAGGAAGGGAGGTGACGAGATTCACAAATAATCTGTTAGAAACTTTCTCTTATTCTGTTCGGTTTTTGATAGAAAATTGTTTCATTTTTGTTCAAAATTCGAAGCTGGAAAAGGATTTAAAAACTCTTTACAAAGCGACGAAGGATTGGAAATTTATTTCATAGTTTTTCACCGAAAATACCTTAAGATTGTCAGCATTTTTCCAAAGTAAAACTTTGGAAAATTGAGCAATTAGAAGAAAGAGTAACTTGGCTAAAACTGGAAAATTCTGAAATTTGAAGACATTTCAAAAATATCATTAATAAATGGCCTTTAAAATAAATCTAAAAAAAGTAAATAAAGTCATCAACATTTTCCCAAATTTGCAAAATTCTTCCAAATTTCCATTGGTGGTTTGAGCCCGACGGAGTTTAACATTTATTTCCTCTGTAACTTACGAAGTGATGAAGCCAATCTTAGACGCATTTCACAGGGAAAGTCCCCCTCTATATGTCGGCGAAGTTTCGATTTTCAACCATCTTCAGGAAATTTTTTACGATTGTTCAAAATTGCGATTGGTTTTCGATGTTGTTTTTGCCGGCCGCAGTTTGGCATTAATTTATCCAGGAACTAACGAAGTGTGAGGGTCATTTTGTACGTGTTTTGTTGCGCAAAATCTGGGTTAAAAGTTTCGATTTTCAGTCATCCTCATTTGGAGAATTTTTCAAAATTGCCCGATATTTCAGTAGGCAGCAGTTTGACATCTGTTTCCTCAGGAAATTGCAAAATGAGAGTGAAACTTTTGTGTAATATTTATAAGGCAAAGTATGTTCTATAGGTGGAAAACGTTTCGATTTTGTATCATCTTCAGGAAATTTTTGAGAATTTTTTCATATTTGGGTCGCGTTTGACAGTGATTTCCCCAAAAACCAGTCAAGCTAGAGAATTACTTTGGTATGGACGTTGTTGAGCAGAACTTGTTTTATGAGTGGGCAAAGTTTCGATTTTCAGTCATCATCAGGCTATTTCCAGACATTGCAATTTTGCCATATCAATTTTCAATTTATCAAGTTTCACATTTATTTTCTCGGAAACGAGTTTAGTGCGAGATTTCCTTTCGGGTGTATTCTATGGGGCAAAGTGCGTTCCATGTGTAGGAAAAGTTTCGGTTTTCAGGCTATTTTCACGTTGTATTTTGGTGTTCGATAAAATTTAGCGGTTGTTTATGCAGGTCTAATTCGACATTTATTTTCTCATATCTAGGAAACTCGAAGAATCCCCTTTAGGTATCTGAATGTTGTGGGGCACGGTGTGTTCTATAAGTGGAAAATGTTTCGGTTTTGACTCATCCTCAGGAACTTTTCGTCTTCTTTTTGAGTTAAAAACGCAAAAAAATGTTCCTATTACGAAAATTTAATAGACATGGTTTTATGCCTATTTTTTTAAATAATTTCTCGTTTTACTCGCATATTATTTCCTGATCATTGAATCAAGGATGCATCGAAAGACAGCCAGCAAATTAATTGTTTTTATCTACTGTTCACTGTTCGGAAATAGTTATAAATTCTGGCTTACCATAATCGATCACCTAAAAAAATGGGTCTGGGTGTAAGAATCCCCAGGGAACTGTAATACTGCTGGGCGAAAAACTCCAAATCGTTGGTGTATTTCCTTTTCCATTTCGTGCGTCTGTTTTGAAACCATATTTTAATCTGTAACAAATTAATTTTTGTCTTTAAAAAAGACAGATTTTCACGTCTTTTATTGCAGATTCATAAACACTGTATTTGCACATTTTTTAAATTCTCCACATCTTCAGACCCCAAAGCCTCTTAAAGATGCTAAAACGTTGGGCAAAAACCCAATATTTTGCGACCGATGTTTTCGACTGGAAAAATTGCAGATTTTTTTAACGTGAAAAGTGCGAAAAAATGCTGTAGGGAATTTAGAAGCGCCGAAAGACTTTTAATTAAACCGCACACTTTAGATGAAATTCGTTTCGATTTCTCCTTCGGGAGACGAAAAGTCAACCCTTTTTTGGGTTCACATTAAAATGTTTAAAAATGAAACAACAATGACCATAAAAACATGAGTAGCAAAAGAACGTACTTGAGTTTCCGTTAATTTAAGCGTTTTGGAAAGCTGACAGCGCTTGGCGACGGAAAGGTACTTGTTTTTCTCAAACTCAGCTTCCAGCGATTTGATTTGGGCCGCTGTAAAAGCTGTGCGGGGTCGCTTTTTGCGATCGTCGTCCAACTTGTACGTATCTGATGCCATATCTGAAAGCAAAACAGAAAAATGGTTAATAATATTTTTTGGGAAAATTACGTTAACTTGGCAAACGTTCGGCATTCCCCATCGCTCTAATTGGGTAGCGATTTCACAAACTACATCTACAATTTTAACGGCGTCGAATAATTTTTCATCTCTAATTGGTGACCGGATATTGTTGAATGCGCCAAGATATATGGCATCTTGTAAAGTCTTTATCACGGCGACGATGTCTCGAATATTACACCAAACAGTTGTTTTTAATTTACCGTGGCAAATTTATGTTTCGAATGTCGGGTGGGAAGTGCAGACACGTTTAGAAGATAGTAATTTGCGCCTCAGACAAAATTAGATTTTAAACGTCTAATGATCCAGAAAGCGACCAACATAATTTCTTTGAGTGATTAATTCGGGTGCGACATCAGCTTTTCTTTGAGCCCCGGCCGTTTATAGATTCAAATCTTTTATTTGGCGGTTGAGCTGAACACTTTAGCAATTCGGAATTCTTTAAACGATACTGAATCAATGCAGGGTGAGTTTAGCAAAATGTGATATACAGGGGGATTATGTCAAAATTACATGTTTTCCGTCCCGTTTTTCGCTCATTTGTACATCATTCTAG